TGCAAGGGTTATACTAGTTAGGCAGCAGAGAGACCATACATGTTGTTTAATCTTGTCTCACACATGCAATCTCTTCTCCTTTGTGCAGCATCAATCGACGGCATCGAATGAGCCTCATGACCCAGCCCTGTCGTAGTGGAACTCATGGCCTAAGTGACTACTTGTGATTTTATTTGTATTTGAATTTGTGGATTACCTGTGACTACTTGTGGTTGTGAATGAACCTATTTGTGATTCTAAAGTTTATTTGCATTTATGCGTTGCCGATATATCTATATGAACTGCCTGTGATGCCTATTGTGAACTATCTGTGATGGATGTGATGTTTATTTGAATGTGGTACGTGGCTGTGACCGAACCTAATAAACTGATTATTTGTGGCAGCTTTGCCGAGTGTAACACTCGGCAAAGAGGCCTTTTGCCGAGTGCCAGGGTTAAAACACTCGGCAAAGTGTACACATGGCAAAATTCTATGCATTCTGGGACTAAAATGGCTTCTTTGTCGAGTGTCTGCGCTATGACACTCGACAAAGAAGCCAAAATTCTATGCATTCTGGGACGTGTTTGTCGAGTGCCTGGTATTCGACACTCGGCTAAGGACGAAGGTTTGCCGAGTCCCTCGAATGTGACACACGGCAAAGGTGGAAGCTTTGCCGAGTGCCTGGAATGTGACACACGGCAAAGGAGGATGTGTTTGCTGAGTGCCTGTACTGTGACACACGGCAAAGAAGCAAAGTTTGCCGAGTGCCTGGATGTTGACACACGGCAAAGAAGCAAAGTTTGTCGAGTGCCTAGAATTTGACACTCGGCAAATTAGGAATGTTTGCCGAGTGCCCGAGATTTGACACTCGGCAAACATGCCATGACCGCCTCCACTCCGTCACGTTACTTTTTTTCGCCGAGCGTCGGTTTTAGCTCTCGGCAAAATCTTTGCCGAGTGCCCGATAGAAAACACTCGGCAAAGCTACTGTTTGTCGGCACTGTAGATGTCGTGTGCTGTTTGCCGAGTGTTACACTCGGCAAATCATTTGCTGAGTGTTTTTTGGGCTTTGCCGAGTGCCTATGGCACACAGCAAAGTTATTGTTTCCTGTAGTGACTGTTCGGCAATCACCGGTGCTGGTAGCACTGTGCAGATGCACCTACCAGATGGTCGGATGGCACTATGCAATTGAACATGCCGGACAAACTAACAACAATTGGGTAGTGAATAGTGTCAAGATCCTAGGAGAACATACCCCGCGTGATGATCTATCAAACAATCAACGGTGAGTGGTAGGCTGTTAGATGGTGTCTTGCAAACATGACAGTTGTTTGGTTCTATCACAAAGAGCATGGCACTATGTGTTTACAATGATGTAGCATCGAAAAGAAGGTGCGGAGTACAATAACGCACCAGACTAAGGGGGGTGTTTGGTTCTTTAGTCGCTCCTAAAATTCATGTCACATCGAATGTTTAGGTACTAATAAAGAGCATTAAATATAGATTAATTACAAAACCAATTACATAGATGGAGGCTAATTTGCGAGATGATTTTTTAAACCTAATTAATTTGTCATTAGCACATGTTTACTGTAGCACCACGTTGTCAAATCATGGACTAATTAGGCTTAAAAGATTCGTCTCACAAATTAGTCGCAAGTTGTGTAATTAGTTTCGTAATTAGTCTATATTTAATACTCCATGCATGTGTCTAAACATTCGATGTGATAGGAATTTTAGGAGCGCATGTAGAAAACAAACAGGGCCTAATTAATCCTAGCCAATAGCATATTGGTTCTTGCATGCTAGATCCACTCATTCTCTCTCTCTCTTAGCACTTTGAGTTACCATAATGACTATACCAGTAAGGGGATTATTGTAACCCCCCCTAAATGATTTACTACAACATTATGGATACTATTTGATAAGAAAATTTGATGTCCTTAGCAAAAAGTGATCGGAGTCAAACTAGTCATCTTTCAAGGTTCTTTCTCGATGCAATTCGAAACACATAGTGCTATAATTAATTATAGCGTTCCATGTATGTAAGCTGCTATAAGGGGTAAGAACAATGTTTAAATGTTGTGATGTGGATTTGTGGTCCATAAAACTTCTCAATGGTCTAATTCATAGAAAAATTGTATAGAAAAATTGTAATGAAATGCAGTGTGCTTAAGTGTGTTGATAAACCCGAATTTGATAACCACACAGATGAGTTTGGCAAAACATCTGTGACACATATGTTAGCAACCTTAGGCTATCAACCAAGCATGCCTTACCTATTGTAATAACACGTGTGACACATCGTAATGTGATTTCGCTTTTCATATTAGCACTTGACGATGATATTGAACTACGCTAAGCTCGGTGAGCCAAATACATGGAGTCATTTCTAGCTCACTAGCCATACCAAATCGATCGAGCCGATGTGGTTTGGTATATGAACAAATCTTTAACAAGCTGAACTGGCTAATTATTAGTAAGTAGTTATCTAACCCAACCCAAAATGTCCTCAAATCGAAACATAATATACTCTCTGTCCCTGAATAAATCAACTTATAGAGTTGTCGTAAGTTAAAGTTTTACAAATTTGACCAAGTTTATAGATAGAAAATTAATATCATTAATTAGATACACCATAGTTATTTCATTATGTATTTATTTGGTGTCGTGGATGTTGATATTTTTTTATACAAAGTCCACCAACTTATAAAAAGTTTGACTTAAGGTCTATTTGATACAAAAGCTAATTGCTAGCTAGCTAAAAATTAACCCTAGCCTATCAAAACAGGAGGACTAATAACATCTGAGACTTTTGTAGCCAAGTCTTCATGGCTTGAGCTAGTTATTACTACTAGTCAAATGGAGTAGCTAGCTAATATTTGCTAATTGGATTTTGGTCCAACCAACCACTAGTAGGACTTTGCCCTTGTTTAGTTTCTCCCAAACTCCCAACTTTGGCACTATGCAAAAAGAAGATTCCCCGTCACATCAAACTTGCGGTACATGCATGGAATACTAAAAGTAGACGAAATTAAAAACTAATTGCATAGTTTGGTTGTACTTTATGAGATGAACATTTTGAACCTAATTAGTCAACGGTTGGACAATTATTATCAAATACAAACGAAATGCTACAGTAGGGAATCTGACACTATGCAAATTTTGCACATCCAAATTTTGGCCAAGGCCGCGTTTAGTTCGGCCGATTTGGCTCCGGCCAAATCACTGTAGTGTCGTTTTGTTTTTATTTGGTAATAATTGTCCAATCGTTGACTAATTAGGCTCAAAATGTTCGTCTCGCAAAGTACAACCAAACTGTGCAATTAGTTTTTGATTTCATCAACATTTAGTACTCCATGCATGTACCGCAAGTTTGATGTGATGAGGAATCTTCTTTTTGCATAGTGCCAAATTCTGGAAAATGGGGGAACTAAACATGGCCCAAGTAAACACGCCCTTTGATTTATTAGGGGACAGAATGAGCAATAGCAGCAATAATTGTGGACATGGGCCACACACACCCCATTCCATTGCCGTACTCCCTGTCATCCACATCCAATAGCACCAGAGCAGCATCATGCATGTAGCTACAGTAGATAGCTAAGAAATAGCTGAGCCCGTGTTTAGTTGGGGAGCCAAATTCTGAAATTGGGCCAGTTTTTGGAGTTTGGAACTAAACGGGGGGTGAAAAGCGGCCTGCGTACGTTTTCGGCATGAGGCCCAATGGCAGCCGCAAAACCGCGTGGCACACAGCATCGGTAGGCACCACCCCTCCATTCGTGCATTCGTCAACCCTAGCCCCGCTCTCCCCCGCACGCATCTCCCCTCGGTGGCCCCGCCGCTCGCCGCCGAAGCTAGCGCATGTGCCCGCCTAGATCCACCACCCCGGCCGGTAGATCTACGTGAGGCGTGGCCGGATCTAGTCGCTGCATGGCCGCGGCTTCCTAGATGGACGACTTCCCTGATGACGGCTACAACGGAGGTGGCAACGTGAACTTCGACGGCGGCTCCGGCAGCAATGACGGCACGCGGAACTTCCTGCCGGGGGCGAACCGCTTTTGGGTTCGTCGGTGTACGAGGGCTTCACCGACCAGGCGCCACCGTACACAGGGTCCAGCGGCGTCAACCCTCCCCACTGGGGCTTGGATTCCCTGGACCTCAACAACAGCGGGGGATGGGCTGGCATGGATGGCTACGACGCCGACCTTCGGTCTGACCCTGGTGGTAGCCAGATGGGGCCGCCTCCCATCCGTGTTCCTCGGCGGTGGAACCTCACCTACGAGCAGCCTCCCAGCGCCCGCTTTGGAGGAGGCGGCGACGACACCGGAGGCCGCGCCACATCAGAAGCTATCGGAGGCAACCGCGTGCCGCGTGTCCATCGTGGTCGCGCCTCTGCCTCAGCCGTCGAGGGTGGAGGAAGGGGCCGGCGTCGCTGCCGTCGCGGGGCTGTCCCACACATGGACGACGACATCGTGAACCCGATGCATGCTACCCCCATGGGTCACATCCCAGTAGTTTTCCTCACCCATCGTCTTTCTTGCATTCCTCATGTATACTATTGTGTTCGAAGCATTTGCTGTTCTCCCCATCGTTGCCTGTTCGTTGGTGTGAAATCATTTCTTATGAAATCGTTTAGGCTAGGAACGACAGGGGAACCTGGTCAGAGCCCAATATAAGCAAGTTTTGCCAAATCTGGTGCCACCAAATTGACAGTGGCAACTGTGTCCGCGGCTGCATGAACAAGTCAGGGTGGAGAGATCTGATTGCAAGGTATTATGCAGCAACAACCTTGGTTCATGACAAGGACCAGTTCAAAAGTAAGTTACGCCAGCTCAAGCATTTGTGGCATTTTATAAACGACCTCTGGAAAGGCACTGGCTTAGGTAGGAGAGACGATGGCTCTATCCTTGCTACTGATGCTTGGTGGGACTCTCGTACGGTGGTATGTAAGCAATCTTATGTTGAATCATGTACTGTTAAAATGTTAATATTCAATGATTCACCTATGCTAGTTTTTCAGGGACACCCAGACTGGAAGAAGCTCAAGGACAGGTGGCCTCCGTACTTGGACGATTTGGACCGGATGTTCATCGGCAACGCTGTTGATGGCTCAACCTCGTTCTGTCCTGCACAAAGCAATACAGTTGACGTTGAAAGTTCGGATGACGACTCCAATGATGAGCACGATGACCAACTTACGTCGCTTAGTGTCAGCACTAAGAGGGCAAGCAGCACCAGCACAACTGCCTCTAGCCCGAGCAAGCGGTCCAAGAGCCCCGCTGTCAGGACCATGGATGGTCACATGAAGGAACACAACGAGATTTCAAGGTAGAGGCTTGAGAGGATGACAGCCATGTGGCAAGAGAGGAACCAAAAAATTGAGGACAATAGCAAGGCGCTGGAGAGGAAGGTGGAACTAGTGCTACAATTGGCAAGACAGTGTGGTGCAACTGAAGAGACCCTAGCTAGTGGATAGCTGTGCTCAAGATCATGCAGAGTGAGCCTGTTATGAACTTCTTCATAAGCTCCTCGCCCCAAGGAAGGATGCTGACGATTAAGCAATACATCGGGGTCCTCCCCTAGACCTTATTTTCTTAAGCTTTCTACGTAGTTACTAAGTTATGTCATTAGAACTATGTGAGGTGTGGTGGGTGTCATTTGTCATTGACCTAAGTATGTCATGTCGAACACTTGAACTAGTTATTTGTAGTATGACTGGATATGGCTATGATCTGTTGATGTATGTAGTGCATGAGTTTGAGTAACTGGCATGAGTCAGTTCGAATAGGGATGCATGCTAATGTTGCCTAGTTGATGTTGAAAACTGATTGGAACTGTTTTTCATTTTGACAGGAGGATGTCCAAGCAATAGTGACAGGGATGATGTCCTCGAGGCAATATTGTTATGAGAATGATTTGGACGAGTTCATCAGTGACTGGATGGAGGCGAAGGATGATGACGATGCTTTCCTGTACGGTATGTACCAGTATGCCTACCACATTGACAAGCACTTGTCAAGGTCAGAGTATAGACAGCCAGTCATTACTGGTTTGGAATGGGTATATAGTAAACTAGGAAATAGACCGGCCTGTTATAACATGTTCAGAATGAGCCCTGATATGTTCCACAGTCTGCATGATGTGTTGGTAGAATCATATGGGCTGAAATCTAATAGCAAATCCGCATCTATTGAGGCCCTTGGGATGTTTCTGTGGATGGTGGGGGCTCCACAATCTGTTAGGCAAGTGGAGGATAGGTTTGAGAGGTCACTGGGGACTGTGCATAGCATGTTTCACAGGGTGTTGAAGTCTGTTGTCAAGCTTGCTTCTGACATCATTAGGCCTAATGACCCAAATTTCAGCACTATGCATGATAGGCTAAGAAATCCTAGGTTCTATCCCTACTTCAAGGACTGTATAGGGGCGATAGATGGGACTCATGTCCCCTGTGTGGTGCCTAGTGATAAGTTTGTGCAGCACCTGTGCCGCAAGGGGATGACAACACAGAATGTCTTGGCTGTGTGTGACTTCGACATGCGATTTACATTCATCCTAGCTGGCTGGCCGGGTTCAGTACATGACATGAGGGTCTTCACTGATGCGACAACAACATACACCAACATGTTTCCACATCCACCAACAGGTATACAGTTAGTTGGTTGTACTTTTGTGCATATGAGTACAAGTTCGTGATACTAACTATTGTTTGGATGGTATAGGCAAATATTACCTTGTGGACTCGGGGTACGCTAACCGACCAGGTTATCTTGCACCGTACAAGGAAACAAAGTACCACCTATAGGAGTACCGAGAGGCACCAGAACCCCAAGGTAAAACTGAGATCTTCAATTATGCACATTCGTCACTTAGGAATGTCATAGAAAGGTCATTTGGAGTGTTGAAAATGAAGTGGCGGATGATGAAAGAAGTCCCTAGTTATGCCCCCCATATACAAAGTCAAATCATTGTTGCATGTTGTGCCCTGCATAACTTTATAAGGGTGAGTGGCATAGGGGATCGGCACTTTGCTCGGTGTGATCGGGATGACAACTATGTGCCGGCAGAAGCCTATGCCAATCAGCCCAAAACTATTCCTCCAAGTGGTAGTTCTGATTCGGAGCTTATGAATGCATTTCGGGAATCCATCGCAATCGGTTTGGCTAATCGAACATGATTTGGTCATCTTTTTGAGGCGACTGTGTAACTGTTAATTTATTTGGCTGTAATTGTAATTTTTTGTCCGACAAACAGTGTAATTTTTTGACTGTGTAACTATGTGCCGGCATTAGTCTGTGCCATTTTATTTGTTTACCAATAATTGTTGGTTTCTATTAATTGTTGTGCTGTTGAGGAGGCTCCATGACCCCAGCAATGACTATTGCCTTGTTGACAATGCCTGGGTGGATGTAAAACCATGCTTTACTTGCATTCAATGTCATGCATGCATGCCATTAATAAGCTGCATGCAGTTCATTAAATGTTATACAGTAGTTTTCCAGATTTTGGGAACTAAACACCCCATGAAAAGTTGTAGTGCTCATTTTTTGGGCTACTTCATAGCTACAGTATATTTTGGGATATTTTGGCAACTAAACACGGGCTGAATCAACGAGGGGAAGAACCGCTTGCCTCCGTACAGACGCCCTCGTACCGTCTTATATAAGCAGCCGAACATAGCGCCGCCTGCCGGTGCTGGCCGCGCTCCTGCCACGGCGCAAAGATGACGAGGCGGCTGCTGCTGCTGCTCGCCCCCTCTGCCACTGCTTACCCAGAAAAGGGGACCCGCCGGTGGCCTACGGAGGCAAACGGTGGTTCCGATACAGTCTTTTGGCCCCGGTCAGTGGCTCAGCGCCACTACTGTTGTTGGCGCTGGACGACAGGCTCAGCCCTCAGCGGCTGGGCCAGCTGCACGCCGCAGCCAGCTGATGATGCTGCGGCAGCGGCGCTGCTAGTGTAACAACCCAAAAATCCATACACCAAAAATACCAACTACAAATTTTTTTCCTCAAGAATCCCATGTGATGATGAGTGTCATGCATAGAAACCCAACCTAAGAGATGCATTAAGTCTAACCCAACCCCAGTCAACATATAAGCATGGCATGTCATTAGATAACTGTGTTTATTAATTTCTAACAAATATAATGTTGCATACCTTGTTAATTCAAAATGTGATTTGGATTTCCATTTGAGTTATGATTTGCTAAACAACTCCAATAAAATAATGAACCATAAAGATATTATTAAACAAAATTCTCTAAACTCTAATGAATAAGTTACCTCAGTTTTGAATTCAAATTCTAAACCAAATTTGAATCCAAACAATGGAAAAGAAATGAAAAACAGAAAAAGGGAGAAGAAGAAGTGGGCCTCGCAGCCAGCCGCTCGGCCCAAGCTAGCCAGCCCAGCTCACGGCCCAGCGCGTTGCTCACCCGCGTGCCCTTCTTCTTCGCCCGCAGTCGCTGCCCGCTAGACCCCGCGTGTCAGCCGCACACCCGTCTACAGTGTCGTCTTCCTCACCCACGCCTCAACCACATACGCGACCGGCGCCCGACAGTGGTGGCAGGGCGGGCCAGGGGTCACGCCCGAGGCATGGCCCTGTCTCCCTGGCGCCACACCCACGCAACCCTTGCGCCGTGCCTACGCCACCGCACGCGAGCCATTGGATGCCACTGATCACGCCTACACCGCTCGATCGCCGTCCGCCATTGGAGCTCGGAGCTCGGCTATAAAGCCACGGCCCTCGGTTGCCCTAAGCTCTCATGTGCCCTGCCACCACCTTGTGGCCGTCCACAGCACACTCTAGCCAAGAGAGAAGAGGGAGGAGAGGAAGAAGGGGGAAAAAGGAAATACCAGAGCCGCTGCCGGGAGGAAGACCGGGAGATCACCGGAGCCGGAGCGGACGACACTGCACGGCACGGCTTCTGGAGCTACACGGCCTCGACTCTTCACTGCACCGCTATCCTCTCGCCCTCAACACCTACGGTGAGCCTTCCGGCCTCTCCCTGCTCACCGCCGGACCTTACCGTGTACACACGCACGGCACATGCGACCACCTCCGAGCCCTTGGACGTTGTAGACCCCTCCAAGCCCCACGGATGCCAAGGCAGAGCACTCGCTCATCGCGCTCCCAACGCCACCGTTGTGGCGTGGCCACCACCGACCAGAGCACCAAACCACTGGCCAAAGCACCAGACCACTGGCCGGAGCACTAGACCACCGGCCAGAGCACCAGACCACTGGCCAAAGCACCAGACCACTGGCCAGAGCACCAGACCACTGGTCAGAGCACCAGACCACCATGGCCAGGTCCGCTGGGAGCGCCTAGCGTCTCCTCGTCTCACCCATCCTGTTCGCTGGAGTCACGGATAACTCACGCGCACGCCGTGACCACCCCGCTGGAGCCCCGTAGTGCACCGAGTGCCTCGCCATTGTCACCATGTCACCGTGGCCACCGGGAAGCCCCTACCGGCCACCTGGAAACCCGAAACCCCGCCTTGAGCTCTGGATGCCCTCGCCGTGTCCCCATAGATCCATAGGAGCCTACGCACCCCACCGAGACACTTCACCGTGGCCGTAGCCCCCACACCGACGCCGCCGTCGTGCTCTGAAGGCCGCCGCCATAGCCAAGGCCACCGGAGGCCCTAGAGGACCCCTCGACCTGCCCAATATGCTCGCTGGAGCACTATGACACTCACGCGCACCATAGACCCGGCCTATTCCGCTGCACCCGCGCCACCCTCGCACACCAGTTGTGCTTGAGCCGCCGTTCGCCGTGGCCAGTGACCTAGGGAGTCCTAGCCGTCGCCCCGACACCACCATCGCAGTCGCCAAAGCCTGACGGTGTTTTTTCCCACGCCAATTGGGCGCTAGCACCGCTGCGGAAGCTCGCCGGTGAGTACGTCGCCGGTGGGAGCGCGCCGTGGAAGAAACAGAGGAGGAGGGGCGAGTTGAGCAGCGCAGCCTTGCACCCGGTGCACAAGAGCCGAGCCGAGGAAAATAATGGTGGACTTGGTCCACCAGGGACCCTGCCTTAGGTCCATGGACCAGCGCCTCTTGGTCCACCGTGAGCCACGCTCACGCCCACAGCCGACGACCACAACCCAGTGGAGGCCCAAGGCTGTGATGTGGCAGCGCCACAGCACGCCACGTGTCCGGAACAGCCCGGCCCAGACCGGCCCAAATCTAGCCCTGTCCAGGCCAGTTTGAGACCCGGCCCGTATTGACCATTGACTGGTCAACCATGACTGTTGACCTGGTCCCATATGTCAGTAGCACAGACACACTGGACCCACACGTCAGATGCTGACGTCATACTGACGTCATGCTGACGTCACGCGGGACCCACTTGTCAGTAGCAGCACGGCCGAGGTAACGTCATGCTGACGTCAGCAAGCCACGTGGACCAACCACATCGTGACACGTGTCAGCCTAGGATTAAGTCAGCCTTTTTCATTTTCAAAAATAGATTAAATCTTCGGAAATTCATAACTAATTCATACGACCTCGGAAAAATACGAAACTAGAACCAAAATTCATCTAAAATCGAGCTCTACGCAATGTACCTATGCTTGAGTGCATTTGGTTCTTTTGAATTTTCATTGCTTCTTTGTGCTATTCTATAGACGTCGCTAACGCGACTATAATGCGGTCGTTTGCAGACTCGGAGGAGAACCGGACGGACGAGGACCGAGAGTACCGTGAGGAGTACGGAGACGACTACACTGAAGGTGCCACATCCCACCCAATCTCGTAGCACCTATTACGCATGGCTAATATAGAAATGCTAGTGCTTACTTTATCGTCATGATCACATTATGGTAGGACTTGCATGGTAGTATGTCTTCTTGATGGCCTTTACCTTGACGCAACCTTACCCTTGCTCACCCTGCTGATAGGCTAGTCACACGCTTGCTATTACATTTCATCGCTTATTACTTCTACTACGCTTGTACTACATTGATGCGTGGTGGAAACTGGTGTTATCTGGACCATGGGGAGAGTGCTGCGTGTGTGACTTGGGTGCGTGGAGGGTGAGGGTTGTGTCGACCAAGTTGGAGTATACGACGAGCCTGGGGCAAGTCTTGCCGTGGGGTGCTACCTGGGCACCCCTGGAATGGATACCTGTGGTGGGTAAATGGTATATGAGGTGGACCTGGGTGTGAACCTGTGATGGGAGGAGCCCAGGGTGGAGGTGCTGTGGTGGCACGGTAAATGGAAACCCTGATGGAGACATTCTGGCTTGGTCATCCCTAAGGACTTACTAGTACTTAGATTCACCGGAAAGCCTTACGTACCACTCGCCCTATATGGTGCGGGACGGCTGGACTACTTGGTAGGATATTGCCACTACTGCTAGGTTGATAGCGGACAGTGTAAGGAGGTACGAGGCGCGGAAGATTTCCCCCACACCCTTCCGAGACTTCATGGAGACCTTGTGGACCCGGCTCATGACTCACAGTTTCAGCCACCCCAGACTAGACTTAGGGTGTACCAGGGCTGAATGGTAGAGTGGCATTATCCTAGGCTAGCAAGCGGCCGAAATCAGCCCAGTTGACGACGATCAGTGAGGAAGGCAGATCTTGTGGTTATGTAAAACCTCTGCAGAGTGTATGGTTGATCGATCGATACATATGCTGACTCGTCAGCAATAAACCTTTTCTGGGTTTCGCTTAAACTAGATAGTGAGAAGAGTCTTTCTTTTCTCCCCTGGGAGTGAGTGTTCGGACGTAGCCAGGGGCTACGGGCCTTGAGACAGTGCCGAGAGGGAGTTGGCCTATCGACTGAGCGATGGTATACCTGTGGTATGGTGATAGAGTGGAGATGGTGGTTTATCGATCCCATGATCGAAACCTAGCTCTGGAATGGGAATGGGATGGAATGGGTGTGTGAATGGAGTTAAAACTTGACCAACTATTAGTATATACTTGATTTACTAATGCATAGAAAACCCCAGCCTTATAGGTTTCTCTTGATTACATCCAATTTACATCCAATTTCCATAAAACAATGCTCATAGGGTTGTGAGTGGCCAGTACAAATCGTACTAATAAATTTTGGCACACAGGTTCTGCTGAGGAGTATAGCTCCGAGGAGTTTGACGGTTGAGGGGTTCGTTCCTACGCTCGAGTTTGGCGATCCTATCTTCAAGCTGTTCTGAATGAATACTACTTTTTGATTCCGCCAATGCGGCGATGTAATAATCTATGTACTTTCGCACTATTTGTACTATGATATTATCGTTGTATGGATGTGATATTCGACTGGAATCTGGATAATATGATCGACAGCGGTCTTATTACACTTCGACTCTATGGATTTTCCGTCGCGGAAATCGGAGTTGTTTCAGGTGGCGTCGTCGTCGTTGCCGGAGAGGGCGCGGGCGTACGGCGGCGCCCAGTTAATGCCGTTGCCACCGGGATTGGTCCAGCGCGCGCGCGGGCCCCCCACACCGCTGCGGATCTGGCCCTGCTCGTCGTCGCCGAGGTGCTGCCGGGTCGCCCGCCAGTGTTTGTGTTCACAAAAAAGGAAACCGAACCAACGATCGCTGATTAGCATGTAGCATGCGCTGATGGATGGATCACTGGTGCATCGTCACGGATCGAATCGTTTGGAGGTTGGTTGGTTACTGTGTGTCGATCGATCGATCCATCAGTGATGGTAGTACGAGCGGCGTACCATCTGGAGTTGCATGTGCAGCGTGTCGTCGCGTCCCTGCTGCTGCCGCTGCCGCTTCCGGGGTGGCGGCGGTGTTGGACGTGGACGTGGTCGTCAGCCGGGCGCCAGAACATGCCGGCGGCAGTAGTCGGCGGCGGCGGAGGCCTGCTGAGGATGCTCCTGTGCGGGTAGCTGGCGCTCGTCTCCTCCCCCTCCGCCACCGCCGGCAGATCGAGCTGCGTGTCAGTGTCCGAGGAAGCTCAGTCAGGTACGTACAGTAGTAGTGGACGTTAGCAAAAGGCTCAGCGCGTCGGCCATGCATGTACTGTACATACCGTCAGGGTCATCGTCCTCTGCTTGCTGCCCGGCTCAGAGCTGAACGCCTCGACGGCGACCGTGGACGGATCGCTGCCGCCGGCGCAGCCCAGACTGAGCTCGAGATCCAGCTCGACGTCTTCCCAAGCTGCACTCCACAAACATAATTTCAGTTCAGCAGCTCAAGAGTATGCATGTTTCATGACAAAATATAAGGAAAACACAGCATCGACAACAAGAAGAACGGATCAGGTGGGCTCACACTGCGATTGCAGCTCGTTATCGTAGCTCTGGGCATCAAAATTGGTCACCGCCTCCTTGCCGTAGCACTTGATGGCAGCCTTGTCATAAGCCCTGATGATTAGCAAGCATATGCATGGCACAAAACCAGAAGTTGTCACATCACATGCCGTTGTGTTCTGGGACACTCAATGACGTGCGTAACAGAAATTCAGAGGAGAGCAGCGGCAGCGCAACACTTACTGGGCAGCCTCCGTCTCTGTGTCATAGGAGATCAACCAAGCCAAAAATTTCCCAAATTAAGTTCCAAAATTTTTGTACTAGTACTAACTAATTGTTCAGCGTTAATTAATTACTTCTTGCCCATGAGCTGGCCGATCCTGGCCTCCCACTTACCGCACTTGTGCTGGGTGACTCCCCCTGACGAAGCCGGCGCCCTGCCGCCGGAGCACCTGCACGAACTCCTCCTTTCTGAAGCTCTTCATCTGAAAATGCCGCCGCCATGGCAAGAAAAGCAGAATCAAGGCATCAAACAATGAGAGAGAAAGAGAGAGATGTTAACAACGATGAACAGAGCAGCTACAGTTCTTTATTATGTTCAGTTCATTCATGATGGTGGGCTCTTCTTCTACAGGTCTTTTGATTTGTAATAAGGGATCACCTTTTTCATCTCATCCTTGTAGTCGTCCAGGGTGAAGTTGATGTCTGCATTCGCGCCGCGGAACTTGATAGCAGCCTGGTCATAGGCCCTGCAAACAATGGGTCAAAGTACAGGGAGGGTTCAAAGTTCAAACAAAAATTTAGAAATTTACTCCTAGTTTGTACGTATATATAATAAGATGGAACAAATGTGAGGAAGAAATCTATGAACCTTGCAGCAGCCTGCGCTGTGTCAAATCCACCTAGAAAAAGAGCAATGCGGACACCAGATTAAATGCCATGAAATGATGCTAGTAGTACGTGATTTAAGTTCCGGTTTTTTCCAATTGGACAAGAACTCACCCAAGTACACCTGCTTCCCACAGTCCCTGCCAATGAAACAAGAGAGACACAGAGAGGGAGAGATGAGCATGAAATAGAACAGGAAATGGAGATTGCTTGCACAAGCCGAAAATACCATCAAAGAAAGAAGCTAATTCAAAGGACTGCACTGCAGGAGCGCAGGTGACTGACCAGATGTGGGACTCCCACCGGCCGGTGCGGCGGTAGAAGGTGACGCCGCGGTACTGCGAGCTCCGGGACCGCGGGCCGCGGCGGCTCTTCCTCGACGCCGACCGGACCCACTGCTCCGCCGCGCTACAACCGGCGGGCACGTGGCACTGCCACTGCTCCTCCGTCGCCTGCTGCTGCGCCGGCGCTGGGGCTGCAGTGGCCGGGAAGAACTGCTGGGTGACGGCGGCCGGCCGGCAGGGCACCACGGGCATGGGGAAGCCGAAGATCATGCTGCTGGCGCCTTCAGACGGTCGGCGGCCGACCTGCGGCAGCAGCTCGGCCTCCCCCGGCGTGGCACGCGCAATGCCGTCGACGCCGCAGTGGAAGAAGGCTCTCCTGGTGGCGTCCATGGCCGGCCGTGCTGCCGCGGGCGCGTGCGAGCGTGCGTGAACGGAGATAGAGATGCACACACGGCGTTCTTGGGTCGAGGCTCTTCTCTATCTATGTGGTGGAATGCATCATTGCAGCTTTTTTTCCTTTTACGCAGTTTAGATGTTAGCTGGTCTCGTCCTCTCTCTCTCTCTCACTGTCTCACGCAGACACACTGTGAGACTGTGAATGATGTGTGTGCGTTGCACACTTGCACTTGGTTGCGGTCCCCGTCGAAGCCCCGAAGAATCTGCGGGTAGTACACGGGCTGTTTGGTTGTTACTCCTAAATTAAATTTTTGTAGCTATCTCATCCAATGTTTTACACGTATATGAAGTATTAAATATAGACGAATTACGAAACTAATTACATAGTTTGTAATTAATTTATCGAGACGAATCTTTTAAGCCTAATTAGTCCACGATTTTACAACGTGATGCTACAGTAAATATATGCTAATGACGGATTAATTAGACTTAAAAAATTCGTCTAGTGGAGTACTAACGGATTATGTAATGTTTTTTTATTAGTATCCAAATACCTTATGCAACATCCTTCTAACACATCTCCTAAATTTTAGTCACTAAATCCGAATACCACCTCAAGCCAGCAGGAAGGCTAACTGGGTAAGGAAAGGGAAAGATCTTTGAGCAGGCTATCACTTCATGTCAAGCGTCGTCTTTTTATGGGGCTGGAAGCATGGAGAACACCAGTCCAGCCACAAGCGGCAAGCGAGCGAGACGGCCCCTCCCCCCAAACACACAACCTCCTCTATCTGTCTATCTGTGCGCATTTACAATTACACAGCACAAATCGTATGGTACCTCCTCTATCTGTCTATCTGTGCGCATTTACAATTACACAGCACAAATCGTAGGTACACTTCCTCCGTCACTAAATAACTATCGGTTTTGATTTCCTTATCATAAGTTTAACGGGATAAAATACGTGTAATATTTGTATCACCAAATAAATTTATTATAAAAATAAATTCAACGATCTATCCAGTGATATTAGTTTTATACCATAAATATTAATATTTTTATATATATTTAGTCAAAGTTATTTCTCGAAAAACGAAAACGACAGTTATTTATGGACGAATGGAGTATATATGTATGTATATATACAGTGTATGGCTGACATTCATGCCGCCGGTTCCAATAGGTGACCAGTGCTATGTCAGTTCCTTATTATACAGTAGTATGAGGCCATTATCAGTGAAGGTTTTATCATAGTTTTATTTACACTTAATAAGCAGTCACATACTCCGGACGACACGAGGCCTCTTCTCTATCTAAGCAGTCACATTATCAACGGAAGTTTTTATCATAGTTCCAGTAAGTGTTTTCTTTATGACGTGACAACATTTTAGAGAAAAAATAATTTTTATGAAGATGAAACTGTCTTGGCTCGGTTACAACTTAGGATGAATCATCGTAGAACTAAATGTTTATGAAACAAAAAAAATAAACTATATATTGAGATGATGGTTTCATCTATGTCTCACTGCATTCTATGTTCTTATTAGAAGCAATGATATAAAACTCTCCATTGAGAATGATCCGAAAGAAGAACTACTGTTAATGATATCATCTATGTTTCGTTGCATTCTATGTTCTTAGAAAGAATGATATAAAACTCTTTGGTGAGAATAACCTAAAAGAAGAAGCACTGCTGTAGGTGTTTGGCTACTAAAATTTAGTCCATGTTACATCAAATGTTTGGACACATGCATAAAGTATTAAACGTAGACTAATTACAAAATCAATTGCACAGATTAAGATTAATTTACGAGACGAATCTATTATCAACTAAACTTTTGTTCATGGATTGAAACACCCAATTATGTAAGTTCCAATTGGACATCAAGTAGACAGACAGTACTACGTATTTAAGTTTCATATAGTAGCTAGCAGTGCAATTATCAGAGCTAGCATGCATATGGTACCTAGGTGTTCAGATTATTAGGTCGTAGGTTTCTGGCAGTGGATCAGCCAAGGCACCGTTTGGAAGTCAAAATTTTTGGCGAAATGTTATTGTAGTATTTTCGTTGTTATTTGGTAAATAGTGTCCAATCATAATCTAATTAGACTTAAAAGATTCGTCTCGTGGATTTCGTCTAAACTGTGTAATTAGTTTTATTTTTTATTTATATTTAATGCTTTATGCATACGTCCAAAGATTTGATGTGACGAAAAATCCTAAAAAATTTAGCATTTTGGAGTGGAACTAAACAAGCCCCAAGCAACACTAGTGCCTGCCTATTAATGTAATGTAACCTAGCCCTTGCCCGCGCGCATTCACTTCCCGGCCCGCGTAAAAAGGTCCCCCCACCTTCCACCAACTCCGTCTTGTTTAGATTCCAAGTTTTTTCACTCTCTTTTCATCACATCAAATCTTTGAACACATACATAGAGTATTAAATATAGATAAAAAATAACTAATTACACAATTTGATTGTAAATTACGAGACGAATCTTTTAAACCTAGTTATGCCATGATTAGACAATAATTATCAAATACAAACAAAAATACTATAGTGTCAAATACTGATTCCTAACAGCTATCTAAATAAGGCCAGCTATCTAAATAAGGCCAGGCCACTGGCCCTTGCTTGCATGGCATGCGCATGCGCCGGTGAGAGTTAGAGAGGCAGAGGCCGTCCGGCAGCGGGCAGCGGCAGGCCGGTGTTGCCGCTGGTTTTCGAATCGATACGATACGTACGAACGCATCGCATGTGTGTGTTTGCCTCTGCGTCTGCACGCCGTCTGCGTCTGCTATGCAACGAAGAAAGCAGAGGCAGAGATGGAGGACCAAGAGATCGAGACGAGGCAATAATCAGGCAAGGCACCAGCACCGTCGTCGTCGTCGTCTTCCATCTACCTACGGCTCCGAGTCCCACGTTAACCAGATCGAAGACATGCATAATGCGGGCATGCATGCATGGGCGTGGGCGCGGCCGCGGCCGCGCGCCATTAACGCCGTGGTCCATGCGTGTGTCTGTCTGTGGACTTGCACGTAATTAATACCACCCCTTGTTATTATCGCCGCTGAGAATACGGAGTACTGTATATATGTACCAGGAGTAGTACACTGTTGCCTACCGACCACAATTGAAGGTGTTCCCTCCTAACGAAAAACTTGCTGCTGCATACGTACAAGTATAGGCACCCTTCGGCTGTGCCTTGTACCGTACCACACAGACTACTTCTGCAGCTGGTTCACACTACCGCAGAAATAGGTTTACAGGGGCGGTTTGAAAAAGCGATACAATGCTGATTTTCTAGAAGGGATTTTTGCTTCTATACTACTAATTCCTAGACCTGAAAATGGATTAGCATCCTCGTCCAATTAATCCAGAAGGGAGAGTCCAATCCATCATACGCGAAGTATCCAATCCAGTCTAGCCCACTACTGCATCAATCCAATCCAGTCCAACCATCCAAATACTCAGGGGCCGTTAATACCAGCCATAATTCACTGTGCTGAGCTGAAATTCATTGTTCACGCCCTCACAAATTCCTCCAAATTTCTCTAAACGAACAGGGCCTCAGCGTTGTGTCAGCCGGGCGAGCACGGGCTGCTCAGCCCTTTCAGGAAGCCACTCCATACCATGTGCCATGGATGCCTATCTTTGCACCACCGATGGGAGGGCATCCTCGACGCCCACGTCGATGGCCAGAAGCCACTCTTCTAGGCCGCCGCGACCCATCCATCCTCGGTGGCGCAGTCATCAAGCTCCTCCCTCCGCTCTCCTCGTCACTAGTCACCCCCGCAGGAAGTTGTTGGCGCCATGCGGTGGCGACGCTTAGGGCCATTGAAAGCCCTAGTTTGGTTTTGGATAATTGATGAAACTTATGTACTAACCTTTGTCATGAGTGTTGATTAGAGCAAGGTTGGTACATCCAAGTGATGGAGCAAGTGAGAGGTCCATGGAGATGAAGATGGACATGAGATGATAGTGATCAAGCTCCAACTTAAAAAAGAAGAAACAGAAAAACAAAAACTAAGGAGATCAAGGCAAATGTATCAAATATATTTTTGTTTTGGCACTCAAGACACTATAGAGGGTGTGAGTGTGTTTAGGATCGATAGCCGTACTATAAAGAGGGAAAATCTTTGGCTAAGCGGTTATCGAGTGCCACTAGGTGACATGATTCTTGCATATGCATTTAGGGACCTAGTGTGTAACACCCCTGGTGTTTGTCACCAGTTAAGCAATGGGTTTGAGCTTAAACATGACATATCAAGTGGTAATGAAGGTGTCAAGATCAAATCTACATGACGGAGCTCCAACCTAAACTTGGGCCACACAGATTTGCTTACATATGGACCCTTATTAAGATTATGCAAGAGTAATATTAAACATGCTTATTCCATGTACATTACATCCACATGCATCCATCTAGACCCGTGGAAAAGTTTCATAAAGTTCGGAATCAAGAAGTCGCATGAAATGATGAGTTACATTCTTACTTGAATTGCGCTAGTAAGTGAAGGGAATTATAGGCCATCAACCAAACCTTACTACCTTACCTAAATGACTCTAATTGAGCTCTACAACAAAAGTCATGAAGGGTTTGTGTTGAGCACATGTCAAGAAAAGGCCTCAATTGGTCTAAAACTCTAATTCTAGGGTTAATGAGATGTTGCTTTGACCAGAGTAAAAGAATGATTTATATTCAAGATACAAGGTTTGACCTTAAACAAAAGTTGTAGCATAGTATATGTACTACAAACTTTATTTAAGGACCCAAGTCTAAATCTATCTCTAAGCTTGACAATCAAAGGTCACAAGATTGATTCTGCTGCAGTTTGCAACACTTAGAATTATCCTAAGTCAGTTTCGCTAAGCAACGACGTTGGCATTCCGCGCTCTCCAAATTTTGCTAAGCAACTTGAGTTAGTCCAAAAATAAAAGTTGAAGGTTATATTAAGGAGAAGAGCATATAAAAAGTTGGGCTAAGTTTGACTCCGT